AGACCCTTGGGACCACATGTGTTTCAGAATCCACAACTTTTTAGATTTTAGAAAATGACCACAGTGAATATGCTGTATATTACAACATACTTCCAGTGGGGTCTGGGGCTGCAATCCACAATCAAGCATGTTAGTATTTCTGCAGCAAAATGTATTAAAATTCACACTAAGTCAGCTAAATGAGGACTATAATTAACTTTGTTTCAGATGAGATGAAGTTTTGCTAACAAGCAGATTGAATAAAAAAATAGGGGGTCTTGAATTTTGGCATTGTACATGGGGATTTACATCTACTTAGATGAGTAAAATTCTTAAGCCTGCTTAACAGGAATGAATAGGTAGCTTATAATTTGAAATTGCTATAGAGATATGTATTGAGTAGAGCTCATTTGTGGCAACAAACAGTATTGAAATTGCTTTGACTTTACCCTTCTCATTGTGCCTTGAGGCAGTAGCAGTCAGGGAAGAATTGTGCACCTGAGAAGAAGCCTAGGTCAGCACCTAAGCTTCCCATTTCTGCCTTAGCTCCTACTTGGATTCATGACACCCCCGTTAAGCACCACCCGACTAACCTTGCTTGCTAATGCCTCACTTCTCAGACCTATTGGCTTTCAAATTTCATTAAATCTTAAGAGTCATATGGCCTATTCCCCAATATGCAGTGCCTTATATCAAAACAGCTACCAGCATTAACATGATGATGAGAAATACTAAGCACATTCTTCTGCCAACAGGGTCTTTCTGGAAGCATTGGTTTAACTGTCAGGAGTGATGTTGAATGTTCAGGGGCTAAGGTTGGCTGGTGGGAAACTTCTGTGGGGATGGTCGAGTTTAATATCTCTCAGGTAACAAAAACTGTGAACTCTACCAGTGAGGACCTGCAGCTACCCACAGGGCTGGATGTATCAACCTTCTCACCCCCCTAATTTCCATAGGACTCTTCCACCCTAATCGGTTATAATGTTTGGATGTAATCAAGGTCACCCACATTTATAATATGCAGTTAGATGCAAAGAAAAATAATTCTGTAAAACTGCCAAAGATTTAGTTCCTAGCTGTGCTCTTGCAGAACAGAAATCAACAAAAATGAGGAAGCTGTGCCTGGCCGTTCACGGAGGCCACCACTTGCCCACAGCAGGAAGCATTGGCAAAGCATGACATCCCTGCTCAACTCTCTAGGTTCTCCTCACTTCTGGCTTCTCCCAAGGCTGGATGGACCAGGTAAACATGCATCCTGCCCTGGAACCTGAGCTCTCTATGCCAAGATTCTCCTTCTGTCTCCCAGGGATATGATGGTGCAAAAACAGGATTCTATCGTGTTAAAAAGCTGTGCAAAATCCAACAAAGAGGAAGAGCATTGTGAGCTCAAAGAGGTGTCTGTTCTTGCAGGACAGGAGTGTTATATAAAGAAACAAAATGTGAGAGGCAAGAAATAAATGGGCTCATGAGGTCCTCGTGCTGACTGGGGCTTTCACGGACCCTTTGGGTTGTGCAATGGACAGCCGTAGATTTAGATTCAAGATCTACCTCTGGAGTGACAAAATGGCCATTTTTATTTTCAGCTGTTTTAGGTTTAAGTTTTCACAATGTCTCCAAAGTCACCCTTTGAATACACCAAAAGGAGAAAAGGTTCCTGAGGACACGATGCACTGTTACTTGTTTTTATTGTAAGCAGCTGAGCATCAGTAGGCACAGTTAGAGGCTGGGTTTACTTGGCAGTCTCTTATTGTTCCTGGATGTTCAGACTCCCAGGGGTAGCATTCCCATGTAAGCTATTGCAGTGAGATTCTGATAAATGAGTCTCGACTAACCATGCAGTGCACACAGCATCTGAAAGAAACAAAGCTCGCCTCTGACTCAGCATAGGTACAGCTGCAGGAGTCATTTTCCAAAATGTAGAGGAGCAACACCAGAATCAACCATCACCTCTCAGCTCTGGTGTCAGCAAAAGATGGGATGCACCTGCTATTGTTTATTCGAATAGGCTGTAATAATTAGGTAGAGCTCACGGAGCCTGGCTCATGTAATTGTCTGTCACTAATAGTCAGTCCAATGGCATATTTTAGAAGTTACATCAGGAAAACACTCTCAGGATCAAACAGGAATTTATTTATATACCAGATATATTAAAAGGCAGGACAGGAGTTATGCTTTATGGCAAAAAGAAAGAGATATGAGTCCATGGCTTTTAAAAATTTCTATGAGGCCATTTTTTAGAGCAGTAAATACTTGGAGCTTCATGGAAAAGAATTTACAATGCACTCTGTGTGTTTTATTATTCATTATTTAGTGAGCATTGTGAAGTCAATTTTGTTCAAGATATGGATGAAGGCATGGAGCTTATTCATGGGACCTCTGATTTAAAATGAGTAAACCAATTTATACACAAATACATCAAGCATAAGATTCAATACCTGAAAAATAGCTTAAATACCAAAGTTTCTCTGTGTAGTTCTTCTTTTAGAGGTTGGGGGATAGAACTTTTGGTTTTCAGAACTGGGAAAATCACTTGCAGGAAGAGGAAGAATTTCAAGCATATGGATATCATACAAGAATATGTAAATAGGAATAATAAAATAGAGGAAGGGATATTTTTTGAGCTTTCAAGCAACAACAGTAGAGCAAGTAGAAGAATAACAGTAATGGCAATTAGGTAGGACTGCCCCCAGCCTGTAGAGGGCCAGAGCTGGATGTCCTGATTCCCCATTAGACCCGCTCTTCATCCCTCCACTGTGGCCCCAGCCCTGAAGGATCTCTACAAGCTGTATCATCTGGGCTCCCTTGCCCACCAGCTTCCAGTTGGTTCAGCCAATGGGAGGCAGCAGCTGGAGGTCAAGAGGAAAGCCTGCAGAGGTCAGAGCATCCTCTTCTGGCCCCATCCCTGATAAACCTTGGTTTGGCAGTTACTGTGTCATTGGGTGCCTCTCTGTGATATCAGTTCTTGTTAATTCTGCTAACAGCTTCTTCCCCTCACCCCCTGGGGCCCCCTCTCCTGTGGCCAGCCCCAGGGTGCTTCACCTCTCTAGGCTGGTTTCCTTTAACTTGTTCACACCTTTATAAATAGCCTCTTCTTTAAACTCTCTTTGTTACCCCTTTGAGAGTCCCGTCTATTTCTTACCAGGACACAGACAAATATAGCACCTTGGTAGGAATTAGAAAAAGGCACCCAGATGGGTGCATGGGGGTTCATTATGTTACTTACTGTCTCTACTTTTATATGTATCGAAATTTTCTAAAATAAAAAGAGTATCAAAAAGAAAAGAAAAAGGAACCGCTTTTGGTGTATGGTGCCCTGCAGGGGCGTAGCTTGGTGACCACAGAAGTGAGGCTGGATTTCAGCACCAACTCCCACCTGCAGCTCCAAGGGGTGACTTTGTGCAGTGAATACCAAACCAAACCTGGCAGCCTTACAAAAGGGTGGGTAGATCCCTGAAAGCTGGGAAATATCTTGAGGAGAAAGTGAGGATAGACCTGGGTCTTTAAGGGTATTTGGGACTTAAATGGGAAACTGCATTATGGAAATTAAGGAAAACCTGTGGGACAGGAAGGCAGAGGATGGCTACAGGGAGTCAACTCTACAAGAAAAGGAGGGACTCTGGAGAGAGTATGAGAAAGTAGAAGTGGGTGGAGACCCTTTGATTGCTGAGCTACATGAATTAATCATACAGCATATACAGGATGCACCAGAGAGGAAAGAAGGGTGCAAGGGGTCACTGAGGCTGCAGTGGGTGTCTACACTCCAGTGAGGAACATGGAAAATGGGAAAATAGAAGCAGGTGTAAGAAACTCCATGAGAAGAAGAGGAAGAGAACTGGAAGATGGACAGATCGTGAGAGTAAGAAGGAGCCAGAGAGGGCCCCAAGCGTGTTTTCAAGATCTTTAGCCTCCACTTACATAAATACCCCTAGGCAGCTTAGGCAGCCCACATTGAAGGGCTGACAATTTTGACATTTTGGTACATGTGAAAGAAATGTGAAATTCAGAATCATTTGATTTTACCCTTCTGTTTTACTGAACATTGGAAAATCTACCTAATGAAACTCAAGATTCTATTATAAAACAAAAACCCTAATAAACACCTCAATCATTCCGGTAATCACTGCTTACTCCTAAAATGTCCCCAAAGCAGGTTTTTTACATCCAGAATTTCTTTTGATTAAGGTCTGAGGTAGGGCCTCTGCAGTTGAGAAGGGGCATCCTCACAGAGAACTCTCTTGAATCATACATAATTTATAAGTTCAGTTCTTACTACCAAAATTAGCAGAACTGAGCAAGGTATTGAATCCTTAACCTAAGCGGACATTTGGGGTGGAGGGAGGAAAGAGTGATTAATGTGAAATAGCGATGGTGTGGTTTGACTGTGTCCCCTCCCAAACCCCATCTTGAATTATAGTTCCCATAAACCCCAGGAGCCACGGGAGGGACCTGGTGGGAGGTAATTGAATCATGAGGGCTGTTACCCCATGCTGCTATTCTCATGAGTGAGTTCTCACAAGATCTGATGGTTTTATAAGGGGCTTTTTCCCCTTTTGCTTGGCACTTCTCTTGCCTGCCACCATATAAGATACGCCTTTGCTTCTCCTCCACCTTCCACCATGATTGTGAGATCTCTCCAGCCATGTGGAACTGTGAGTCTATTAAACCTCTTTTTCTTTCTAAATTACCCAGTCTAGGTATGTCGTTATTAGCAGTGTGAGAATGGACTAATACAAGTGATTTATTATAGGTCCCCAATTTCACATTTATTTGTAGGCAAACCTACCTAAGAATTCACTGCCATTTTAAAAAACTAGTCTGAGGCGATTTTAGCCACATCTCCATCTGAGAAAATGTATTCTGTGTTTTCACTATTTGGCATTCTTTTCTAGGAACTACATCCAGTTTTTGCCAGGTGTCTTGGCTGACTGTTAGAGACAGTCATCTGGTTTTTCATGGCAGCATCTGGTTCTGCGGTTTCTGTGGCATCTCCCTGAGCTGTTCTCTCTCTCTCTGCCTTGCAGATACTTGCCTGAGATCATGAATGATGGGCTTACCAACCAGATCAACAATCCTGAGGTGGATGTGGACATCACTCGGCCGGACACTTTCATCAGACAGCAGATCATGGCTCTCCGTGTGATGACCAACAAGCTGAAAAATGCCTACAATGGCAATGACGTCAATTTCCAGGACACAAGTAAGAAAAGCCTTCACAGCACCAGAAACTTCCCGAGTAAAAAATAGTTTTAGAAGACGATACCCTGACTTTCTTCTAGAGCAATATGCCCTTTAATTTTTTTCATTCTTCCTCAGGCAGTAATGCTTGTTATAGTATTTTGGACAGAGAGCTCTGATCCACAAAACATAGGATATTAATAAAATCATAAATTCTACAATACGAGAAATAGTTGCAATGGATTACATTCAGCTATACCAAAGCTGAAATTGAGTTTCATCTACCAATGGATTCATTCATGACAACACAGCAAAGTAATTTTTTCACTGTCTTCTGTCCTCATCAGTATTCTGCCCCAAACTTCTGCCCTGTTCCCCACAAAAGAAGAAAGCTTGACAGATTGCTTAGACAAGCCTGAGATAGAATCCCTGTCTTATTCCTTATTAATTGGAGTCTCTAGAAATTACTTGTTGAGTCTCAGGTTCCTCCTCTATAGAATGGGAAGCATCCCTGCTTCAGAGGCTTTTGGGAGCCTCATTTGAGGAGCTATGATAGTGTCTGGTGGGTAGTGAGCAGGTTCAGCTACATCATTTCCTTCTCTATCCAGCTATGCACATATGCAATCCATATACATTTGTGTGTGACATATTGAGAGAAATCATAAAATGCCAGTGCAATATTACACATGACCGTTTCACTAAGGATCAAAGACACATCAAAAGTGATTTGGAAGACTATTAAGTGAACATTGACATGAAACTAACTATACAGGGGTTTTGTCTGAGTGGTTTTAAGATGAATAACTACAAAGGAACATCTTCTATCATTGTTTGTTTGTTTTTTTAATATATTACCCTTACAAATAGAGTTCCCAGGACAAGAATTCTTGAACATAAGATGTGAAGTTTCCAGTGATTCTGTAATTTCGTCCTTGAAGCATAAGATGTGTGCTTGGACTAACGAGATAGAAAGAAGCAAGTTACATAAAGAAGACCTCAAATCATCTCAGTCTTAGCCATCAACCTACCAAGTTATCCCCTGCAGAAAATTTTTGTGCTTTATTCCATTTTAAAGAACTCAAAAAAATAATTTTCTAAACACGGAATAATTATCAACTCAACGGACATTATTGCTGCAAAATTCCTCAAAAAAATCCCATCATCTCTCCTCCTTTTGCTAAACCCCTCCTTTCCTCTTCAGAAGAGAACATTACACATGTTTTAGCTATTGTGTCGTCACTCTTGTTAGCACTTAGCCTTACACCTCTCATTTTATCCATTGTCTTCTCCATTAAATAAAGTGTTGTGTTATCTAGAGAGTGAGTATTGGAATGAATACTTCAAGATACATAAGAATTAGTTGGCTTGGCTTCGTTGCTTCTCATTCCTCTCTGACCTTAAGAGGTTACACACATGTCAAGCTGCAAAGCTCAGGTAATGGCCAGGAGGCAGAGATCTTGCTCCATTTCCCCTCAAAAGAAAATAAAATCAACAAATTAGAGGATCTCTGAGTTCTAACCCAAGCACCAAATGTGGCCCTCTTTTTTCAGTTAGTGTCTGTCATACGAACCATCATCACATCTTATAGCCATCCCTATCCTTATTGCTTTGGACATTTTTTTAAGTTACTCATCCCACCCCTTAATATTTTCATTTGTGTTTCCTTTTCAGGAAGAGATGGGGCCACTATTTTTTCCAGCCAAAATCTCCTGTCATATTTGCTTCCCACATTTTTTAATGTTCTAAATCATTTTAATAATGTCTCTGTAAAGGTTATATTACTTCTTGTTCATGACACCAGTGTTCAGAACAATTCCCTTAGCAATTCTGGTATCTCTGAATTTAATTAACAGGAATTTTCCCCCTTGTAAAGGCCACTAAAGATAAATCAGAGAAAATGTTAAAAACCTAGTATAGTGCATTGAAGTGATCTTATCTGATATTTAGATGTCCCATTAAAAAAAGAAACTGTGCTCATTTTTTTAACTGCATCTTTCTCATTCAAGAGGACATTAGAAGAGTCCCTACATTGCCCCAGCTTTACTTAAGTAGCATCCAGCAGCTAAAGCTGGCCCTGGTTTCCCAGGAGCAGCTCAACAGGGCATCACCATTTCAGACTAGCAGGGAGTAGTTTAAGGATATTGGTAAGAAATCACTGAGCAAGTGAGAGAACTAGCTAATGTCCTTAAAAGCTTCCAGTTTCCTCAGCCCTTCCAGGAACATCATTCCCCGTAACAGATAGATGTTACCACTCTCATTTTTACAAGTGAGGAAACAAAGCCTCAATGAGTCTAACTGGCTTACCCTGGTGCGTTTAAATAACAAAGGCAGGATACATTCCAGGTCCCCTTTCCTGTAGGAACAGTGTTTTTCCTGTCAGGCATCACTGGCAGTGCTGGGTTTGGTGTCTTTGAGCATGCTCGTGATTTGTCCTCACAGACTGTCTGCAAGGTCAATGTTGTCAACTGTATTTGTTTGAGGAAACTGACAAAAGTTGAGTAATTGCCCAAAGCACATTTATTTATTCCAAAAGTATTTGTTGAGCACCTGCTATATGCCAGGGGCCACTGAAGGCCTTAGAGATACAGCAATGAACTGGATTTACCAAATCTCTACCTTCTCAAAGTTTGTGTCCTCAGTTTACATTCTTGAGAAGGAAATAAACAGTAAGCAAGTAAACAGGCACATAAATAGTAGATCTCCAAGCAGGGATAAGTACTTTCATAAAGCTAGTAATTGATAGCCTGATCTGCTGCAGGTTTGAATGACAGGGTTAGTCAAACAAGAAGGAATCAAGCCATGAGAAGTGGGAATAGGGAAGAAAGCAAGTTGGGCAGGAAGTGACAATGCCACCTGGGTCAACATACTCTTTGGGCCCCTGGGCCTTGGTTTCAAGCAGAGAATGGCCAACTGTTTCTGTAAAGGGCCAAATATTAAATATGTTAACCTTTGAGGGCCACATCGTCTCTGCCACAACTATCCCACACTGCTGGTCTAACGTGATAATAGGTATGTGAACGGGGGTAGCTGGGTTCTAATAAAACTTCATATACGGACACTGAAATGTGAATTTCACATCACTTTTTACATGTTATAAAGTATTATTCTTCACTTGTTTTTTTTTGCAAACACTTAAAACTATAAAACCACCAGGTACAGTGGTACATGCTGGTAGTCCCAGCTACTCAAGCGGCTAAGGCAGGAAGGTCACTTATGCCCAGGAGTTTGGGGCTGCAGTGAGTTATGATGCCATCACTGCACTCCAGCCTGGGCAACTGAGCCAGACCCTGTCATTCATAGATAGATAGATAGATAGATAGATAGATAGATAGATAGATAGATAGATAGTTTTTATGGATAGCTATAAAATATATTTTTATGTAAATAAACCATTTTGGGGATATGGACCATACAAAAGCAAACAGCAGGTCATAGTCTGTCAACTCCTGGTTTAAAGGGAGAGACTGGCTGAGATGGAGCCCATCCTTGCTCTCAGGAGAACACAGGTGGGGAAAGGTGGCCAAAAGTAAGATTAATAGAGGCTCCCACTACTATTGCTACTGCTCCTCTCATTTCCTATGCATAGAACTTGTTTTCCTCTTCTGTATTTTTCTTTTAAAATCCTTTTAAAAGCATGATATCTTTCTAGAGCAATGGCTCTGAGTATAAAAAGAGCAAAGAATGAAATTTCTTAAACTCAAGTACTGGCCAGAAGAAATGTCTTTCTAAGGCCAATATGGTAGGTATGGCCTCCCCTTAAGTCGGGTTCACACGTTTCTTAGGGGCTCAGATATCAATTGATACTGTTCTTCAAACACCTATTTCTGCACAGCCCACCCACTCATCACACCCCAAACAATCCTATTGGGTAGGGTGGGGGACCATGGATGGGGAGATTTTACCTCCCACCACATGCCCCATATCTGCTGAGCAATTTGTTGCTAGTCTTTCCTGGTTGACGGTTGTATTCGTCCATTTTCATACAGCGATAAAGAACTGCCCGAGACTGGGTAGTTTATAAAAGAAAGTGATTAATTGACTCACAGTTCGGCACGGCTGGGGAGTCCTCAGGAAAACTACAATGATGGTGGAAGGCGAAGGGGAAGCAAGGCACCTTCTTCACAAGCTGGCAGGAAAGAGAAATGCCAAGCCAAGGGGGAAGAGCCCGTTAGAAAACTGTCAGATCTCGTGAGAACTCCCTATCATGAGAACAGCGTGGGGGAACCAGCCCCCATGATTGAATTGCCTCCGCCCGACCCTCTCCCCAGACACGTGGGGATTACGGGGATTACAATTCAAGATGGGATTTGGGTGTGGCCGCAAAGCCTAACCCTATGGGTGGTCTAACTTTCTTTTTCAATCTTTCCACACTAGGTGATGAATCCAGTGGCTCAGGGAGTGGCAGTGGGTGCATGGATGACGTGTGTCCCACGGAGTTTGAGTTTGTCACCACAGAGGCCCCTGCAGTGGATCCTGACCGGAGAGAAGTGGACTCTTCTGCAGCCCAGCGTGGCCACTCCCTGCTCTCCTGCTCTCTCGCTTGCACTGTCCTGGCACTGCAGAGACTGTGCAGATAATCCTGGGTTTTTGGTCAGATGAAACTGCATTTTAGCTATTTGAATGGCCAACTCACTTCTTTTCTTACACTCTCGGACAATGGACCATGCCAGAAAAACTTACGGTTTTCTATGAGAAGAGAGCAGTACTGCAATCTGCCTCCCTTTTTGTTTTCCCAAAGAGTATCGGGTTCCAGACTGAACTGCTTCCTCTTTCCTTCAGCTATCTGTGGGGACCTTGTTTATTCTAGAGAGAATTCTTACTCAAATCTTTCGTACCAGGAGATTTTCTTACCTTCATTTGCTTTTATGCTGCAGAAGTAAAGGAATCTCACGTTGTGAGGATTTTTTTTCCCATTTAAAATAAAAAAGGAAGAAAGAAAATAATTTTCCTTGTAAAATCAGGCCAAACCCCAAGACAGCTGCATTTTCAACAAAGAAGCAAACAGACAAAAATAAATGAACTTTAATATTATCAGTCCAGCATTGACAGCCAACTCCCAGTGTAAGCTTTTTTGTGACAAATCCAGGTTTACAAAATGCTTATGGGGAGAAAGCTTTCAAGCTTTTTTCTAAATGGAGTGAAAATGCACTGTTGTCTTGGAGGCATCATCTTGCACCCTAACCAAACAATACCAAAATAATTTGGAGGTACTGATACTAAATTTAGAATCTCGTCTTTAATATGAGAACAAAAATTACTACAACTCGGCACCTCTCTCTCACTCTGCCCACTTTCAATTAAGTAACGGCACCATTTTTCTTAATTCCCTTAATGTCTGTCCACTGTATCCAATTGGCACAGATTTCCCCCTTCATCTCCAGTTACTAGCGGATACCCCCATCAATTCATCCTCCTCAAGAGTCTCAATGGAAAATAATCTTAATGATGCAATCTCTGCTTCTGCCACAGGTTTGACATTAACTAGACATTTCTGCCCCTGTGCTCATTACCCCTCCCAAAGCAAGAGTTTTTTTAATGAATTGATACGCAGTTAGATCCATTCCTGAGTTTTCATTTTTAACTGTTTACTTTGTGTCAGTTGGTTTCTGCATCACAAGGGCATTCTCTTACAAAATAACTCACAACAGAAAAAAAGGCAAGACAAAAAATTTATCTAGTATTGACATGGAGATTTCTTTCACTTTTTTAGTCTTAGTATGATCATCTATTTTTATATCTATATATATATAAATCACAGATTTTAACTTCCTAATTCCAAGCTCAGGGTTGACACACCTTTGTAAGAAAATGTTTTGTCAACCAGCTCTTCTTGTTTTGTGCTGCTCAAAGAAGGGATTCCTCAGTGATCTGTGAGCACCAAGAATCAAGAAAGAGAACTTTTTATGTATTAACTGTCCATTTATTAAAAGTTTGCCAGGGCACAGGGCACACCCTTTCGCATGAGTGTGCTTCAGCTTGGGCGCTCCGGACTGCACCAAGCTCATGAGATGAGCCATGGGTGTGGGTGTGCAGGGCTTTACCAGTGATGGAAACTGTGTGTGTGAAGAATGTTATTCATGAGAAACCGTTGCTTTCATGTAAAACACCTTCAGCCTAGGATTCCTGCTTGGCACTTGGATACATTACCTAACTCAATAGGCCAATTTAGAGCCACAACCTAACCTATTCACCAAGTATGCCAAAGCCAGGCCCTATGCTCCCCATGACAGAGAGAAGCAAAATAAACCAAACTGTGGCTTTAGGAATACAGTTGGCTATCCATATGTTTCTTGGTTTCTATGATGCATCTGGAGTAGGGAAAAGTAATGTTTCAAGACACCATTATACGCCAGTCACATTTTAATTAACTCATCGACAGTATTGACACGTATATGGTATTTTTCAATCTCTGTTCTCATCAAAATTAAAATTAGTTATTGATTTAGTCATCACATTTAAGTAGAACACATGCGGCACAATAGTATTAAGTATATTTGAGCACTTTTGCAAGACAGAAAGTATTTACAAGCATCTATTGCTACTTTATGCCTAATGGAATATAAAATGTAGGATTATGAGAGACTTTGTGGCATTCTTTCATATAAACCTTTATGTAATTAACAATATAGTTCACCATTACATCTAGAAAACCATCCATTTCACTGCCCACATTTCGGCTTCCTACCACGAATTTCACATAAGACATCTCTATGAAGGACCAGTCATTTATGTTGCTCATTTCATTGTGTGTTCAGAAATCAGTATTGTCTTTCTCCAATAATTAAGGTGCAATACAAATTAAATCAACCTTGGTTTTCCAGACTATTTGAGTAATAACTTGTTTTTATGGCTTTAAACTCCAAGTCTTTCCTTTTAAAAATATTTCTGCATTCTCTTTTATTAAATAGATCAGGATGCCTTGTTTTTCCTGTGCTTTCACCCCCAAAAGGTTTTGTGCATGTGTATGAATACACATAATATTAATGAATGTGAACCCATGTCCTATACGCAACTAAACACACAGAAAATATATAAATGCCTGCTTCATTTGTTTCAACACCTTCGTTATCAATATGATTCATATTGATGAGATATAGCGATGCATAATGAGCCAGGCAGAGAGCTGAAATGACTTATCAGTTAATGATGCCACAGTGTTAGCACCCTGCATGGATGTGGTCAAAATATCATTTGAGTTGTACTTCCTAGTTTTTATCATCCTAAAGCCCTAAAGGATTTCGTTTAACCTGGTTACCCTATTTCAGTTAAGTATTGGAATTTACCCCTCGAATTAATTTTTCTCATATCAGCATAGTGATAGGGGATGCAATGAGCCTCCTTTCTTTTTTATGACCTGCCCCTCATTTGCTCTGATGTCCCCTAAATTCCGTAACCATATCATAACTTTTGTTATGACTAGAGAGGAATGGGCTCACTGAAATCCGACACTAGAAATTGGTGGGTGATGCTCATAACTGCAAACACTTAGCTTATTGAAGTGCCTCTATTTACATGTTCTTTAGTTATAATATGTATTTTTCTAACAGAAATACACGTCTGTAATTGGTATATATTATACTTTGTATGTGTCACAACAAAAGCTAAACAGAGGCTAAAGTCTTTAGCAGAGAAGAACAAATTACAAATTTACCAGTGAGAGCTCTGTTTATGGTTCTATATTAAAGGACAACCATGACAACTTTCTGTCATTTTCATGAAGGCCAAGTTGGTACTTTGATTATGGCCATTGTAGAACATTAGTACTAGAAATCTGACTCCCTTACAATGACTTACCTAGATGGCATTAAGTAACTTGTATCACCTGCTTTAAATGTAAGGGATAGAAAATACTATTTTGTCTACACTGAAAAACATATTATTCATTGACAACTAGTGATCATTATAAAAGTAACATTCTTTAAAGCAAACACATTGAAAATATTATTGGAGGCAGAACGCTGATTTTTAATTTATATTCCCTGCTGCAGACATTAGCCTTCTTTAATTCTTTTGCCATTACCTACATGTTTTGGCTGCAGACTGAACACCAGCTAAAGTCCCTAAGGAGGAAGGAAACTTAACATATTCCTGAGATGTGATTCTTTTATTACTTCTTTTTGCAAAGTTAATTATCAAGTGATTTGATTAAACATAGAAGCATTAGTAAATTCAAGTTTTGACTTATCCAAAACTTGTAGAAATTTAAACTCATTTTCATTTACTTACTAACAGACTTGACTTTTATTTAAAAACACAATTTAGCTTTGCCAACAGAAGAATAAAGGAAACCATAACTTATAAATTTGCAATGTGTTCCTCCTTGTTGGAGACATTAGCCAGTGTTTAGTTTTAGACCAACTTATACAAACAAGAGTATTGATTTGTACGCATTCTGGAGACTTGCTATATCATGGTTTGCTATGGCACGGACTCAGCTTAGCATGGGGCATTTTGAACTTCAAAGTTGAGTAGTTACTGGAACTTCTGACACTGCCTTGTAATGAGGTACTTTCATGAAAAGACCCCTAAGAATGGCAAAATAGTGAGGTCTCTGTGTGCATATACATAATATATATGCAGGATAAATGTGTGCACCAATCAAACCTAAAATTTTATGTGACTGTCAAATGAGTATTATTTGGGTTAAGATTTTTTCATTTATGATTTGAATAGAAAATTGCTATTAATCTTGTATTAAAATAGTTTTTAAAAATCTACCAGTGCCCTTTCTGCATTTTCTTATTGTCATAGTCTACATTTCAGAACTATGGAATTTTTTTGTGTTCAATTTATTTTTAGAAGCCTCAATATTTAAAACAACAACAAACCCCATATATTAAAACAGTGCCACTCACCTAAGTACACTCAGCGTCTGAAATCAGGAACTATTTGAACTTTAGAACATTGAGAGCATCCCAAATGTATATGGAAAATACTGTAGCTCTATTTTTTGTACTGATTTCTTCTCAGAGGGCAAATATAGTGACTTGGAAATGGATGTCAATACTTTATAAATGAAGTCAGAAAATAAGATCAAATGTAAAAAGACTAATAATTTTCAAATTTATCCAATTGCATTGATTTTTATACTTCTGAAATGTTTCCATGCTCTCAGGCATGCTAAATATTGTATAACCTGCTAAAGATTTATTTCACAAATATTTATTGAACTCTTACTCTGTACAAACCCTGCTCTAAGGGATTTATCACTGGCTGTGAAAAGCCACCAGTTGAAATTATTCCTTAATGCAGTTAACCATAATTATTACAGATAAATAATTTATTTCAAGAATGATCTTATAAAGAAACCCATATAAATAAAGGTACCAAGAATACAGCATTTAACTGTAAGACATACTGTAATTTAGCTCACATTATTACTATTTTGGTTTTTATTGAGAAAAGTGACTATTACAAAAAAATTAAGGAATGTTAGGATTCCTTTGGCATCTACAAGATCAAAATATAACAAATTTTATTTGGAAATAACACAAATCAATTTATTGGGAAGGAAAAACATCCAAGTGGTTTTGGAAAAATAAGTGAAACCAGACACTTTTATCAGGTAACAATCTTTATTTTAATTTGTTCTTTGGGTAAGTGGCCAGGGATACATTTAAAGTACATGCACAAATATGGTAACAAAATTACATTGATTTTAAAAATCCAACTTGTAAAATAGTGGCAATGAGGGATAAAGTGTTTTTGTATCTGGAGAGCTAGAAAGATGCAACCACAAATTTAAGTCTGTTTAAGTAGATGTTGACAACTGATTTAGTGCAGACACATTTCCATCCATAGACACATTTATTTGCTGGTGTAAACATGTGGCCAAACATATTTTGCTGGCTTATAAATAGGGCATGCAGCAAAGCCAGGAGGAATTAGATGCCTGCCTTTATAGCCTGCTTAAGGAGCACAAGCTCATGTACACCTTGAAGCATAAAGCAAAACAAGAAAATAGGAAAATGAAACTTTTACCCTGTGAATGTTCAAGTTTGGAGAGGAGAAAGAAGGATTACAAGCTGGATTCAAGAGAGCAGAATATTTACCTTGAATAAAGGCTTCTTCTTTTCAGTAAGAACAAGCATCTGTGGATTTTTTTAATTAAAAATGTTACTGACCTTAGCAATTACTCACTTTTTCAAAAGATACATAATAAGAAAACATCCCATGCCAAACACGATTCTGGGTGTGAGAGCAAGACACTAAAATTTCCACCCTCTCCCTGTAGTGAGGAAGAGAGAGACAACATGTAAGCCAATAAATGAAAAAGAAGATCAGAAAGTGAAAGGCGCCATGAAGGAATAAAACAGGAAATGGGATAGCGACCAGGAAGGAAACTCTCCTTGAGGTTAGTGGTCCAGGAGAGCCTGGGGTGATGGAGCTATGATGAATGGCAGGAGACAACCAAGAGCATACCTGGGGGTGGACATTTCCAGGCAGAGAAAGGGCAAATGCAGAGATCTCAGTCCAGGATTGACACTTCAGTGTGACTGCAGTGAGGTGCTGAATGGTGAGATGGTTGAAGAACTGACTTTGGCAGTTATCCATTTTTCTCAAAAGATATGTAAAGAGAAATTATCCCATGCCAGACAGGATCCTGGGTGCAAGAGAAATATGCTAAAATTGGTACAGCCATGTTAAGCCTAATGGCCAAAGCTAAGTCTTATCCCCTGATGAAGCCAGAGCCCTAGTGGGACACAGCAGCCTGCAAGTCGCACCCACTAACATTTTAAAGCGTGTTTTTGCAAGGAACGATGCCAAGATCTCTATGTATTTCATCATTTTTTTTTGAGGTGGAGTCTCACTCTGTCACCCAGGCTGGAGTGCAATGGCATGATATCAGCTCACTGCAACCTCTGCCCTGGTTTCAAACAATTCTCTTGTCTCAGCCTCCTGAGTAGCTGGGATTACAGGTGCCCACCACCACACCCAGCTAATTTTTTTTTTTTTTTTTTGTATTTTTAGTAAAGACAGGGTTTCACCATGTTGGCCAGGCTGGTCTCGAACTCCTGACCTCAGGTGATTCACCCACCTCAGCCTCTCAAAGTGCTAGGATTACAGGCATGAGCCACCGTGCCCAGCTGTATTTCATCTTTATAGCATCTCCATGATATAAAGAGAATAATGCCCATTTTATATGGAATAAAATGAGAGACAGTGAAATTAGTAACTCGCCCAGTCACACTAAGAAGATCAAGATATGAACCCAGATCTGAAAAAGTGGACAGAAAACTGAAGGTATCAATATATAAGAATAAGTTCGTTTTTGTCATGTCAAATTCAATTCAATTATCCAAGCATGCTCTGAATATTAACAAGTGTGCAAATTGGCAACAAGTGTAAAAACAGAAATCCAGAGATTTCTATTGGCATAAAGGATATATGTGAAATTTTAATTCTGAGAAGGAGTAGTATTTATTTGCTTCAGTTCTTAAATTTTTTTCAAAATTAAAATCCTAAGTAAATAAATGACTGGGGATTCTAGGTTCTTATGTACTTTTGAGCTTGCAGCCACCTTGAAGCAAAGCATGATCCCTAGGACAGAAACACGCATCAAGCCCGTTTTCCCTTGTTTGTCAACTTGGCTTAGACATCATATTCACAGAAAGCAACTTAGATGTCAAATTCACAAAGCTTAGCCCAACTTCCAATGACTCTCCTTGATATTAGCCTTGTCTCTAATTTATCTATTATGATGGTCGAGTGGGCCTATAAATAGTGATTTATATTTATAAATCAGAACAGCTCAACAACTAGCCAACTCAGGTAACTCGTTTGGCTGCTTTGTACACCAAATTGACTGTTAAAAACATCTTATAAATTACCATGACATCAAACACCCAGCCCATTCAAAGTCCTAGTAAGGGCTTTCTTAGTTAAAGACTGCAGCATAGGGACCCCCTGTGCCTTTCTGATTCCTGGAATTAAAGCTACTTTCATTGTTGCTTTCCACCTCATGCTTGCTTAAAAGGCATGGGCTGTTGCTGTCCTTGCCTGAGAGAATCAGGGATATTGAGCACAGCTTCTATCTGTCTTTAAAGGGTTCTCTACAAGAGCAGTCCCCAACCTTTTTGGCATCAGGGACCAGTTTCATGGAAGACAATCTTTCCACAAATCAGGGTTAGAGTGACAATGGTTTCAGGATTATTCACGTGCATTACATTTATTGTGCACTTTATTTATATTATTATTACATTGTAATATATAATGAAATAATTATACTCACCATAATGTAGAATCTGAGAGCCCTGAGCTTGTTTTCCTGCAAGGAGACAGTCCCATCTAGGGGTGATGGGAGACAGTGACAGATCATCAGGCCTTGACTTCTCATAAGGAGTTGTGCAGCCTAAATCCCTTACTGTGCAGTTCACAATAGGGTTTGTGCTCCTGTGAGAATCTAATGCCACCACTGATCTGACAGAAGGCAGACCTCAGGTGGTAATGCTCACTCACCTGCCACTCACCTCCTGCTGTGCGGCCAGGTTCCTAATAGGCCACAGATTAACTAGTACCAGTCTATGGCCAGTGGGTTGAGGACCCCTGCGCTAGACATTTGAGAAAAGTGATGATCCCATTAGGGAAAAGTTTGTAACAAAGCTCTGTTTATTACTGTTTCTTTCTTTCTTTTTTTTTTTTTTTTTTTTAAGACAGAGTCTCACTTTGTGGCCAGGCTGGAGTGCAGTGGCGTGATATCGGCTCACTGTAACCTCTGCCTCCCGGGTTCAAGCAATTATCCTACCTCAGCCTCCCAAGTAGCTGCGATTACACACCCGGCTAATTTTTTTATTTTTAGAAGAGACAGGGTTTCACCATGTTGGCCAGGATGGTCTCAATCTCTTGACCTCGTGATCCACCCGCCTAGGCCTCCTAAAGTGCTGGGATTATAGGCATGAGGCACTGTGCCTGGCCTATTTCTGTTTCTTGATATACCATGCCTTATATTTGCATGAAGCATTTCATCCTAAAGGGAGTTTCACATTCCTTTTCTTTCATAATCTCCACTACATCTCCATGAAGTAGGCAGGAGCTACTGTACTTATGGTACAGATCAGAGAAGCTACTCAGTGGAGCCGAGATCTTCTCACCTTATTTTTGTTTATTTGCTCCCTTTCTTCTTCTTCTCTCCCTTACCTCCAGCCCACCCAAACTGTAAGGACTTGAATGTATATCATTCTTATTCCTATCAATCTCTTACCAGGTTACGGAACCAGCCCAGTAGTTCAACTGCAGGGACCCAGTCACTAGTTCTCATGCTGAGCCTGGTAGAATGATACCTCAACAGTCTCTGATTCATCTCCACTTCTGAATCATATATTGTGAGCTATTATATACTGAGTTCCTGTGTGTAAAAAAAAAAAATGAGAATTCCCGAAATTATATTAAGCCCAAGAAATTTCACTCAAACAGTTTTATGAAAATCTCGTTAGTGACACAGGAATGATTATATTGGTTTTGTCTGTTTGTACCATTGCATACGAATTAGCTCATGAAGGCTATTTTTATACAGCTGAGCCTGGGTTCTGTGATTGTGCTTGTGTTTGAGCTTAAGAGGTTTTTTTTTTTTTTATGGAAAAGGAAAAACTTTACATTGAGTAATGCATTATTGGACAGAGAGCCTGAGCCAGGAGAAATCGGCAAGCAAAGGGCTTTCTTTAGGGAAGAATAGCAGATTTCCCCCACATCTGAAATCTTCCTTCCTCTGAGGCAAGCG